CTCACCCCGGCAAAGGGCAAGGAGGTACTGTAAGGAATATCGACTACACAACGTAGTACTCATTGACGACCGCGTTAGGGTGGTGACACACAGTTGTGTAAAATTTGTTGCACAGGTTTATTTCAGATTTTTTCTTAGCGTTTATATAAAAACTTTATTGCATTGTTTACATTTATCAAATTCTTAATTGCAAATAATTATCGTTACCATAATAACCTTACTACATTAATGTCGGCTTGTAGTTTATGATCCCTTTCGCACATGAAGGTTTTTTTCCAATTTATTTACGTTCGTTTAGTAGCATGAAAATGTATAGCCTAAAGCGTGTCGTAAGTGTAGCGCTTTTTATTAAAGAAATAATTATTCAAAAATATGCTGTGATTGTTGACATCTTACGCCACGAAGTAGTGTGTTTACGCTTTATTATATTAGTATAGATATAGTTTTATCCGTTAATCGAAAACTAATTGATAAATCATATTAGTAACTAACTAATAATATTCTTTGTCACCAGTGTGAAGTCCACAATAACCACTATTTTCCTCGGCGAGTTTATAAACTGAAAAGTCAGGACTCGACGATCCTATTTAAAAATTAAGACTGAACAATAAAATAAAGGGGAAAATTTACAAAACCGTCGTAAGACCTGTCATGATGTATGGATCTGAATGTTGGGCAGTAAAAGGGACGGACGAAAGGAGAATACATGTGGCGGAAGTGCGAATGTTAAGATGGATGTGTGAGGTAATATGAATGGATAAGATACGAAATGAGTATATTAGAGGAAGTTTGAGAGCAGTCCCAGTGGTTGAGAAAATAAGAAGTAAAAGGTTAGCGTGGTATGGGCATGTAACAAGATGGATGTTAGTTAAGAGTGTGGAAGGATACATCAGTAGAGGAAGACGTAGAAAGAGATGGATAGATTGCGTGAAAGGTATCATGAACAAGAAGGGAGTGATGACTGCGATGACGGATGATAGAGTTATTTGAAGGACGAAAACCTGGTGCGCCGACCCTACGGGAGTAGGATAAGCCAGGGGAGACGATGATGATGATGATGACTGGACAATGTATGGACTAAAAATCTGAAATCATGGATTACCTATACAAAAAAAAAAACTTTCCACAAAGAATTTCCGACAAGCAAGACTAACTTATGGTGTAACAAGTGATATTTAAGTTTGATGTTATTTTCATCAATGAACTATGCTTCTGGTCGGTGTTTTAGAGTGCTTTTCATATTTTAACGACACAACTTTGACCTATGAAAGATGAATAAACTTTATTAACTGAAATACAAGCGTAGTTTAAAATTTTATTTATACTTTTTACAAAATGAAACATATAAATATATTTGCACTGCTAAAATAATTGTACAAAAACATAATATTGTTATTTCAGTTTTAACAAAGCAAATGAGAAGCATAACGTGATTTTTGACCGACTTTCCAAAAGAAGAAGGTACTCAATTTGTCTGTATGTTTTTTTTGACGAATGTTTTAACAGTGAAAATCTACATAAAAACTTATTAAAAAATTAAAATATGACATAAATAGCCTTAGTTCATGTTAAGCGAATTAATTCGATGTCTATTTAAATTTACGCACATAGGACTTTAGAACATAAGTGTAGAACATTGGTCTAGAACATAAAGGGTCTGTAGTATTACTAGGCCCTTACACACTTCATCCTTTTGGTAGCAGGGTCCATCTTGCAGACTTCGAATGCGCTACATTTCACGTTATTGCAGTAGACACCGGGACCACCAGCTGAGAATAATAAATTTAAAAATATATTTATTGTTATTGCTAAAACAGTGACGAAAAGTTAAAAATATTACGCTTACAATTTACTTATTAAATAGGAAAAAAAAACAAGCATTTTGTGCAACAGAGACTTTTTTTTGTTTGAACACAAATAACATCTCTTAGTTTTTTTGGATCACTATTATTTACACATTATTAAAAAATTAGCCTAATAGTTAGCGTACTATTTCTTTTTAACTAGTTTATAACAACAAACTAACCTTACACTCTACATCTCTATCATACTCTTTGAAAAAATTGAGACAGGAATACATTTTTGATACTTTGCTAAAAAATCCAATGTTTAATATTCAATGGGTAACGTGAATAATTAACTGTAATTGATCTTCAGATCAGCTCACGTTTCGTATAGGTAAATCAGTTCAATCAACCGGCTGACGGATCAGTTCAATTTGTACAGCTCAAATGCGCGGTACACACTTAGCCAGTTGCTACTACCAGTCATAGATTGTATGGACTCACTGGCCCCAGTTCACACTAAGCCAGTTGATCGCCAGTCAGCGCTACGCACCAACTGTACAGGCCAAGTGTAAACCACGCATACACCACACAGGTGAGTTAGTAAATTAGTCGTTGAGTCGCAACGGTTCAAGGCCGTGAGCCGATCTTTTGAACCATGAGATTTTTTACCCACACCTAGTTTTTTACTTACATTGCGTGCGCTTATCGTTGTTACTCGAAGATCCGAACGCGTTGGCGTCAATGCAGGATTTAGCATTGCAACCGTTAGGGCAGCATATCTTGCCGTGGCTGCAATCGTAGTTCTGCTGACATTTGGGGCTGCAGCTGTATATCTTCGAGGCTAGCGGACAGCTGCCAGCTGTTGATTGTTTATTTTTTTTTAGGTTAGGTTGTTATTTTTAATCTTGATTTACAACAAAGTATTTTTTAGATAGAGATCTATTTAGTACGTTATACTTACATATTATTTTATCTATTTGTTTTTATTAATGGAAATATTGTTTCATTTGTTTAAGACAAACAAGTTATAAGTTTGAACACTGAAGTAAATTTTGATATTGCATTAGAGACACGATTGTGGAAAGTTCTATATACTTATAATAAACTAGCTGTTGGTCGCGACTTCGCTCCCGTAAAGTTTAAAAATATATCCTATGTTACTCACAGATAAATTACCTTTCTAACGATGAAAGAATTTTTAAAATCAGCCCAGTAGTTTTTGAGTTTCAACACATAAAAAAAATACAAATCTTTCCTCTTTATAATATTAGTACCTATAGATAAAAATGTTACTAACCAGCGGAAACGCTGTCGATGATCAGAAAAGCGGCAAAAAGGCACAGAATGGTCGTAAACGATCCTGGAAAACGCCATCCAAAAAATCATAAGGAAAAATCAACTTGCATCAAATATCGCCTCGATTTCCTAATTTATTCTAAACTGGTCTTACCACAGCAAATCTTTCTAGATTCTATATTCTGTAATTCAATATCGAATCGTGTTCAACTTTCATTAAATTAATTTTAAATCATAGGAAATTATCTCATTTACGTTATTTGGATTTAAACCTGCATAGATTTGAAACATTATAAATGGAATGAAAACAAAGTTCATAATTTTTGCACGCATTTTGCTCCTTATATCGCACTCGAATAATCTATTTTGTCGCATATCCATACAGCAACCAAATTTTACAATGCTTACAGTAAATTTTCATTACCGTATATATTCATCCCTCTCGTTTTCTTAAAAAGAAGCAGAGATAACATTATGTTTTTGTACTGATGATTCACCCGTGGATACCAAGTTTTAATACGATAATATTGTTCCTTATAACGTTTCAAGTCGATTATTCTTTAAGTAGATAATAACAGTAATCATCGCATTAAGAAACCCATCCGGACATTCACTTACAAGGATTTCTATAATGTCCTTACAGCCAACACAATGTTAGTTAAATTTGATTTAAAAAAAAAAAACCTTGTCGATGGTTTCGAAATCAATTCACGGTCTTGATAAGACGAATTTACCTATACGAAGAAAAGAGATAGCAAACGATATAAAAAGAGAAAGCTTTATTTTCATTCAATGTTTTTATTTACATGCGTTGTGGAATATTAATTTTTAATTTACTTAGATTATTCAAATATTCAATATATTTTACAACTGTTGAATAGATTGTTATAACCATAAAGATTTATTTGTAAAATAAATATGTATTAAATTACTTACCCATGTCGTAAATGTTTTGGCAAAAAAATAAAATTGAATAAACACTTGTACTCAGTTCAAGAGATGTGGTAAGACTGGCACATCGCGTATATAAACCAGATTATAATGCATTCATTGATCATATGCATGGTCTTATACCATTCACAGGTTACAATCTTTTAATGCCTAATTTTTTCATGCCTCTGAGAGTTTATTTTATACACTGTAGAATGTATTGTGAAGTGAACAAATTATAAACCAAAATAAAACTACGCAATGTGATTAGAATTGATATTGATAAAATATGTATTAAATCAAAGGTGCGATGAATAAGTATAAGATTTTAAAAAAAATGTGAGAGATAAAAAAAACTGTAGTGACCGTTATGCGTACTAATTGGTGGAGATATAATTATAGGAAACGGTGTTAGTGTCACTCGAATAACTAGTTTTTAATGCAATATATATATAAACGACCCAGTTAAACATATCAATCTTATTAGATACCCTAAAAACTGCGGCACTAATGTGACATTGCCTAATTGATTTTTACGTTTTGACGAAAACTTTAATCTTCAACGACATCCACACAGTAGACTATTAATTAAACGTTCCGTCTACATTATTAATATTGTTTATCTTTGTTTCTTACCAACACTACCTAGTTAAATAATAAACACTATATTTTTGTTGTAAACCGCAACAAAGAGCCGGTTTATTCCCTGTCTCTAAAGGTTGTAGGTCTTGTATGAGTCATTAATATGCAGTCATAATGAATATAATAAGGAAAATGCTTGAACTTGCATACAGTGCAATTTCATTTCTTTAGTAGTTATCTTATATGACGCAAGACTTTTAAATGTATTTTTAAGTAAACTATAAGACATATGGTATACTAAATAATGGGTAAAGAAATAAGGATTTGCATCAATCACGGGCGTCTCAAGCAAATGATCTAGGCCAGGTCTAGGTAGTTTTTATACCTATTTTACAAATTTAGACTTAATGGAGCGGAGGGTAAGGACATTAATGTGCAATCATTTCCCCCTTTAAAAGAGTATATAAAAAAAGACTGCTAATTTTCTCTCCTACCTTTTTTCTTATAGTAGTACAGATTTGAGTTGAGGTAGAATCGACTGAATAGGTGATAAACAGCATATATAGTATCGTCATTTTCTGTTTCTCATCGCCTTTGTCCTATAAAAATAGGTAACGTAATGCAATAAGTTCTGGAAAAAGTTTGGTTGTCTGCCCACCCCGACATCGTCTGCCACATTCTTGTTAAAAAGTATTCATTGGTTTTAACGCCATCTGTTGACATACGTTGTAATTTCATTAAAACGAAAGATATCAATTGCTATCAATGTTATAATAACAATAGTGTCAGTAGCATAAAATTAGGTATTTACATCATAAGTTTTATGCGATTATCATCAATTTAAATATAAGATGTGTGTTAAAGAACAAAGTAAAGAAGCTAATCTTTGGTTGCCATAGACAATGCGTCCATAGCGCCCTCTTCGGGGAAGCAAACAGCAACAATTTAAAAATTTCGGTTTTGTTGTGAATGTCAAATTGTAACCGTTGCAAAGGTTGAAAGTGATGTAAACAATTTATAAGAAAATATTGCTCTCGCTACAAATATTTTATTGTTTTAAGGAAATATACGCAGAAGTAATGATATTAGCTTTAATTTCGTAGTGTTTTTAGTTATTTCATTGTGTAATATGGATCCATTCACCCAGGTGAGTTGGTCATATTTCGATAAAATAACGGTTGAAAATTGTTAGTTTGTGTAATTTACAATTTAAGTATTCATTTTTAGCGTATGTTGGAAAGAGCGCGTGCTAGACAAGAGAAAATCGATCAGAAATTAGCAAACTCCGGTCAAACTCCGAAACGAAAACCTCTTGCTGAAAACGTCGGTGTTGTAAAACCTCAATCTCCTATTAAATCACCAATTAAATCATCAAAGGAGCCAGTTTTTTCACCAAAGAAACCTTCTAGAGAGTCTCTGAAATCAGAAACGCAGAGAAAAAGCGTACAGAAATCTGATTTGATAGTCGCCTCTCCACAGAAGCGGAACGATGTTGTAGTAACGAAAAAGGAGTTCAAAAGTCCGAAAAAGGGCAGTTTGAATAGACGGAACTCGGACGTATCAGTTGAGATTAATATTTCTCATAGAAATGATATACAAATTGAAGTGCAAGTTGAAGAAAGAGATGTTCCTATAAGTATTTTGTATGATCCAAATTTAGAAAGAGGCAGCAATGTAGTCATTAAGGAAATTCAAGGTAAAATAATGTTTATTTTAGACTTAAGCTTATTTCAATTAATTTATAAAGTACAACAATAGAACATTTAAAAGAAATATTACTATATTTCTAAATAAAAATAAAATTGACAATGCAAGCATGTCGCAAATCACTTGTAAACAAAATTGCTTGATAATTTTTTAGTTTAATTTTATTTCATATTAGATATTAGAGAGCGAGTGAGAGAGAGAGAGAGAGAGAGAGTGACTAGATATGACTAGAGAGTTACATTATAGTCATTGGGCTCAAAATCAGCACCAGCACACACAACTGTTGTATTATAAGCAATAACTAGCTTCAGTAACCTCATACAGTCTATGCAGGGTCTTTTCTACTGTGCTGGCTAAATAAACCATGCATTAGCTTTAACTACATTTACTTTTGCAAATAAAGTTTTTACAAACATCATAAAATTTTATAACATTTTCAAATTATCTGAATAGGTCATTAACATCTCAGTTGTTATAAATTGAATATATTGTATTGTTTTCCTGTAAACAAAAGTTATTGTATTACTCATAAAATCTGGACATATTCCAAAGAAGCATTAGTAAATAATGTTTACATAGTTTGTAAATATATTTAGCTTTGTGGTTTTGTCGTCTTGAATTTTAATATCAGTATAATTTGAGTGTTAGTGATTATTACACCTATTTTTTGATTTCTGTGTACTTTTCGATGATTTTCTACATCATGGTTGTAGAGACAGGTACATTATAAATTTATTTTGTAATTTGTTTACGATTGGTAAAGGTGTATGTGTTACTTTGAATTTTATTTTGATTGTTGTGTGTTTCATGATTTTTTATATATTTTCTTTGATATAACTTGATGAATATATGTCACTATTGTTGCTCGCGACTATGTCCATGTTGAATTAAAAAAATATAGCCTATGTTACTTACCGATACATTATCTTTGTAAAGATGAAAGGATTTTTAAAATAAACCCAGTAGTTTATGCGTTATTTGAATGCATACAAAGTGTAGATAATTTAAATTTGATCTTTATTATTTTTCTGATACTTAATCTATGCAAATAATAAAATTGGAGTGTCTGTTTGTAATATTAAAAGAAAATTTCCAGATTTCGGGAAGATGATGTATAATTCTTTTATTTGTCTGCTTGTTGGTTTGTCGTGTTTGTTCTGGGTACTCTCCAAAATGGTTGGGCTGATTTCGACCGAACTTTCACTGTAGGGCACATTGTAGGTTACATTTTTATCTTAATGTTGTGTGGACGAAATCGCGGGCAACAGCTAGTATTTAATAATTTCATGTCTTAAAACTGTTTAATTTCTATGTGCCTTTATTGTAGAAAGGTTTGCATATCTTTATTCATCCGTTTTCTAATCTCCAGATGACAGTTCTAAGGCAATATTGGATAAGGAAGGTGATATCGGAGATGCAAAGAATGATCGTCCAGCATTAAGACATAATGTTAAATCTCGCTTAGACAGACTGGGAAATTTATATTCTGGTAAGTTGTCCTTAGACTATTTCTTTTTTTAATATCAGATCAATACTATCCTTACAATTATTAGAAAGAAGCTTTCGCCTGCGACTCCTTTCACGTGGAATTAAAAAAATCAAAAGTGAGTACCCTATGTGTCCTTCCAGACTATCCTCTACATGTATACCAAATTTCATTGAAATCTGTTCTGCCGTTAAGGCTACAAACAACAATAATCCATTCATCCATCCAAGCTTTCACATTTATAATATTATAGTATATAGTATAGTATTAGTATGATTACAGGACATTTCACATTTTATAACACTACTAGCTGTTCCCATGCAGCTCCATCCACATGTAATTATAAAAACTTTGTTTTTTTTTTTTCAACATGACAAATTTGAAAATTTCCATTACTGTAATAACCTTGCATCCTCAATGTTGACAGCTTGTAGTCTATAGTCCCTTTCTCACATAAATATATTCTTTATGTTTCTTGGGCATGCTGTTTCTGTACGGCTTCATATAATGTTCAAAGACATTATTTTGTTTTTTATGTTATGTAAAACTTTTAATTGCAAATGTCTAAATTTAAATGCACAAATCCCAATAATGACCATCGATTTGTTGATATTATTCCTTTGTTGCAAAGCAATTTTTTTACAATAACTCAACCAATATGTTTAATAGCTTGAAAATATGAGCCAAAAGCATATTGTTAGTGTAGGGGTTTTAAGTAAAAAGGTATTATTCAAAAATATGCTGTGATTGTGAGTGATTACTCACATTCTAAATAACAAAGAAATGCGTGTTTACACTTTAAATTAGTATAGAGTTTGTGTTTCGTGAAAACTTACAGTTGGCCTTATGTTTTTGTTCATTCAAGTAACTGTTAAGCTTTCATCATCATCATCGTCGTCATCATCATCATCATCATCATTACCATCATCATCATCATCCTCATCAGCCCTCCACACAGTGTGGACTGCTTTGCGTAGTTGAAATTGCTCAGTATAAAAATTCGACCGTTACATGATTCATTTTAATCAAACAGGGTGTGGTCTGATAAAAATATCACTTCCTTTTAGTCTGTTGTATGCAAATTTAATAGGTCAACATTTTTAAATATGGGTAAAACACTCGTTATATGATTCACGCGTACATTATTTTGGAAACCGGAAATCATACTTCATGCTAATATTATAAACGCGAAAGTTTAGATGGATGGATGGATGTTTGTTAGAGTTTGTAGCCTAAACGGCTGAACGGATTTCGATGAAATTTGGTATCGATGTAGAGGATAGTCTGGAAGAACACATAGGTTACTCGCTTTTGTTTTTTTTTAATTCCACACAATGCTAGTAATTAAAGAAAACAAAAACCATGTTCAGTTGTATGAAAAGTATCTACAATAGACTTTGAAAAAATTCCATCATTGAGAATAGAAATTGTTTAATAAATAATGGATTAAAATCGGACATTTCTGAAAAAAAAGTAACTATACTAATTTCAATATGAGTCAAGCCAAAATCTTCCTTGTGTTATAAATGCCAAGGTTTAGATGGATGCATGGATAT